CCAGCCAAAGAGGAGGTGTCTGTGTTCTCTGGTGCCCTGGGCATGCAGGGGAAGCCCTGGACTGGGATTTTCCTGCTCTCAGCACTCTCCAGAGAGCTCCAGGGCCCCCTGAGGGCCCCCCACAGCACTGCCCATCCAGCTGCACCAGATTCTGCTGTCTGGGTGTATTGTTAGAGCAAATGAAGAAACAAGGACACACAAACCACAATTCACTCAAACTCATGCAGTAGATTTGGGTGAATACTGCCCTGAGGTGTTTTCTCCTTGGATCATGTAACTCGTTTTTCAATCCATCAGCCCTGTGTGTTTTGCGGCCTTTCAAATGCTCCCCTGACCTGCAGAGAGGGAATCCAGCTGTACCCAGTGCTCACGTGGATGCTTCACTGCTTGCTGGGGGCCGTGAGCTCCACCTGAGCCACAGTTTGGCCTCTTCTAGACCAAAAGTCTCCACTCCTTGAAGCCAGAAACCTGTGTCCTTGGGTGAAGAGCATCAGGAAAGGACAAGGTGTGGAAAAATATGAGTGGTGAGCTCAGAACCAAGTGTGTGATTTCCACAGAGGTCCCTCAGATGCTTCTAATCCTGGTGTGTTTTGGAGGGAGGGCATCATTTCCAGTATTGATTCAAATGACCTCCACATTAATCTTTGCAAGGGATTTTTTTTTATTCCTCCAAGAGAACAGGCAATTTTAGCCACCGCATCATCCTGGGAGGAGAGGGACGTGGACAGCTTTGAAGGCACCCAGCTCAAAGCCCGAGTTATTCTCCCTGCTTTTCCCTCACCACCTCAGCAGCAAGAACACATAAATTGTGTGTCATAGCTGCCTTTTCATCTGTCCCAGGAGTTATAGACTGCACACATAAGACAATTCGTGTTCCTCTGCATAATGAGGTGAGTTTTATAAATCATAAATCTTCACTTAATATGCAGGTGGTGTTTGCTGCCAGGTTTAGGAAAACTGATGTAGTTGCCAAGTTCATGAATGTCATAAATCATTCATGCTAAGGTAGTCTGCAATTGCTCAGTCCTTTGAGACAGACCAATTTCAAGGTGGTTGTTTAACACACAAACACGATCTTCATTGATTGTTTATACAAATATATATTTTCATTAAGTTTTTCCCTCTCCATTTTTTTCCTTCTTTAGGTGCCGAGAGTAATGCCCCAAAGAGTCCCTGCTAGTGGCTTCTCTCCAGTTTCACAATTCTATCAGAAATCTATTACCAAATGCATAAAAATCCATGGATTTGTAATAAAATGAGCCCCCTAAAGCTCAGAAAACAGCCTGGATGTCTCCATAAATCCTGATGCATGTGATTAAAGAAAACAGAGCACAAGCGCGTCTCAATTCATCACAGGGTCATTTTGGACATCCACTATTTTCTGCAAAATTGACATTAATTAAAGGTTTGCTGATCTCAGCAGGGTTTTCATCGCTGCTGTAGCTGCTGTGTGTACCAGAGCAGGTAATGCACTTCCCATTGGGAATACCCCATGTGCTTCTGGATTTATTTGAGCCTACACACCCCGGAGCTTGCTGGGTGCTCTGCAGCCCCCTGGGATGTGCAGGATTCCGTGGGAAGTCTCTTGGGAAAGCAGCTTTCCTAGGAGACATGCAATTTTTAGCAGGGTGGAAAATTAGAGCTGTGTGAATCCTGCAGGTAGCTGGGAAGAGCCTTCCCCCAGTGCCAGTCCTGAGGGTCTGAGCATGGATCTGCCCAGGGCTGGGGGAGGGTCGCCAAGCTCAATCCTGGTGGGAGATGCTCCTCTTGGCCTGACATCTCCCAGCCACACATATCCCCAGGAGCTCTCAGCTCCTGGCTTTTGTGCCTCATCTTCCCCTCCCACCACCTCCTGGGCTTTGCACTTTGCTTTCTGGTTTTCTATGACAACATTATTTCTAGGCTGGTCTAACAAGGTGAGAGCTCTGTCCTGTCTTGCAGTGTTCGGGGTCATCCAGGGCAGGCTGTCACCTCTGCTGCAGAAGCAGGGGTTCGGTTATCAGCCTTTCACTTCCCACCTGATTTACACCTCGGAGACATCCAAAAAACCAAGGCAACAGTTCTACTGGACAGAGTAGTACATCAAAAAATGCTCAGGCTCAGACTCAGACTCACCCAGCTCTTGAGAGGGTCTGATATTGAACTCCACATTAATTTTGAGTGGATCTGAGAAAACTGCGTAGGTGGAAAAAGGCAGAGAATTTTGACTGCTGTTCTGTCTTCCATCATCCTTTTCCAGCGTAATTAACTCATCACAAATAATTCAGGCACTGAGTTCTTTCTCTTCATTTTCCCTGTGATCAGCCAACAAGTGCTCAAGTTTCTGAGTTTATTCCTTGTTTCAATTTACTCACTGAATCATTGTTGCTGTTAAGTCCCCAAAGGGAGGAGGAGGCTGTTCCTCAGCATCTCACTGTGTGTGCCAGCCAGAGCTGGAGATCTGGGCTGTACTGGTTAGTTTTGGTCAGATCTGGAGTTTGCTCCTTTGATTTGATGAACACAAAACCTAGAAAAGACTTTTAGGGGAAAATATTACTTAAAATTTGACTTGCCACTAATGTGGCATTGGATTGGCTTCCAGCCTGCCCTAAGATTTCTGTGATGTCAGTGTTAGTCTTCCTAATTCTCCTCCGATCTTATGGTTCTCAGATGGGTGTAGCAGCCAGGTTTTCTTCCTGCCTGCAGACCACTTCTCCAGGTTATGATTGAGAACTCAGTCCTGGGCATCAGCACAGCCAAAGGGAACACCCCCTCCATTCCAGCAGCTCCAGGGTTTCCACCTCCTTGTTGTGAGGTGCCCTTCAGAGAAGCATCATTCTCACTGGAGTGGCAGCTGATGCTTCCCACTAATTCAGAGCTGAGATAAAACCACAGGGAAGCTGCAGAGCTGCAGGACCTTCACAGCCATAACTCTTCCCTCTGCAAGTATTTATGTTCTCGAGACTGATTAAGCTGGGATTGTGCCATACCTCACACTCCTTGAGGGACTCTCCTGCAGAGGGTGGCATCTCCTGGGAGCAGCAGTCAGGGATCTGGGATATCAGGGAGTGAAAGCTGAAAGCCCACCAGGAATGATCTGAGGTGAAACCTGGTGAGCAAAAACCTGAACTCACCAAAATCCAGGAAAGTTATTCCCACCCCATCTGAAAAGGGAAGGAGTTTTTGGGGTGGTTTCTCTAAGGATGTGTAGGGGGAGGGGGACTTAAATCTTCCTTTGATTGTTCCTCCTGGTCATAAAGTAAAGACAGGGAAGATATTTCTGTGGAAAACACCACTGCTGGCTGTGTCGCCTCTCACTCAGGATATCCCTCAGTGACAGGACAGGGCAGCAACAAAATGCAGCTAGAACTGGGTAAAAGGAGAGGAGAGAGAAGAAAGTCAAATGAAAATAAGGAAGAGAAAAGCTCCAGGGTCTTGCTTCCTCAGGTCCCTGCTGCCAAGACAGCACCTAGGCAAGCACAACAAACTGGCTGGGGCTGCCACATGGGATGTGATTAACAGAAAACTGTATTTTCCCCTAACACTTTGAGTTAAAGGGGAAACCTTCCCATAGCCTGGAGAGCTGCTCACACTCAGAGGGGTATGTGGGGCTTCCCTGGGTGCTGGCTGGGGCGGGTGGCTCCAAGGAACGCTGCTTTGCCCAAAGGAGTGGAGGTGCCAGGGATGGGCCAGCCCTGGGAGCCAGGCTGTGTCAGCCACAGGCAGCAGCACTTCTCCCTTCCCTCTCACCCCTCTGTACACGTCCTACTTCTTCAAAGCTCCTGGCCACCCCAGCTCCCGACTTCCCTCTCCTTTCTCCAAAGTGTGACATTCCCACCGTCTGTAAGGCTGCCAAACAAGCTACTTTACATTTCCCTGCAGGGCTGTGCTTCAATTAAAAGCTTTTCTTGATGTTTTAACTTTCACCTCGCTTAATTGAGGTTCCCTTTCCCAGCCTCCTCCTCCTTTTTAATGAGAGGCTAAAATGCTGGTTAATAGTGTTTGCAACGGGCGGCACCAACCGTGCTTCAGAGGGCAAAGGCTGCTCCTGGCCTGGCTGAAAGTCATGGAGTCTGGAACAAAAGCCACTGGAAAAATATAGGATCCAGGCCACAGAGCCAGTGATCCTACCCTTTTACAAGCTCCTGGGCTTCCTCACTCAGCACTTCAGCAGCAGCACTGCTCCTTTCCTTGTTGGAAAAACAAGGGTTCAAGTGATGGAGCCCAGCTGGGCACAGCCAGGTGCTGCTCAGCCTGAAGTTCCCCTTCTGGAGCATCACTGCAGCGCTACCACCCCCAAATATTTTAGAAGCATGGACTGGGTTAAATGTAGTGAAATTTAAAAAAAAAAAATGCTGTACAACCTCTTTAATTTGCCTACTAATTTATGAGCAGGTAAGCTGCTCCCCTGTCAAGCTTTTCTTCACCAAAAAAAAAAGGTTAGAAACACTTCATAAAAAATACTGAGCACATCAGAAATCCTACAAGTCCCTGTGCAGGGGTGGGGATGATTTTTTGTGAATTACTCATGTTTTAGAGAGGATAATGCATGTGAAACAAAGCACACCTTTATTTTACAGCCAGCCTAGGCTGGGTTCAGGAGGCTCCCATTAGGTACATCCAGAGCTGCTCACTGGTGAAACCCAATCTTCTGAGGAAAGAAGGGACTGGAAGCCTCCAGGGAATTTCCCTCATGCTGCTGGGAGCTGGGGAGGAAGGCAGAGCCATCACTGAGCTCTGCAGGCTGGTCCCTCCCCAGCCCTCTTCTGGCCCAGCCCTGCTGGTTCCTGCCAGTGACCCCAGTTTGCTGGGAATGGAGCAGCTTTGGACTGGGGTGCACGGGAATTTTGGGGGCTCATTGCAAAGGGTTTCCTAGATCCAAGGCTGATCCCTGCTGCAGGCACAGCCCCATCTTCCTGCGGAAGGTCCCCCAGCTCCTCCCCAGAGTGGCTGTACTCACTGAGCCGCTCCCATCCAGGTGGTGCCAGATGTCCTTGAAACGCCGCCAAGGGAAGGGACAAATGTCTGCAAAATCACTCATCTCTTACTGTCCCGACCATTTTATTTCTTCTCCATGCTTGTAAAAGCTGGGACCCTCCTCGCCAGCTCTGCAGCAGTTTGAAACCTGAGATGCTGCGCTGGAACACTTCCACAACTTCAGGTGCAGCTTTCATTTCTGGCCTAGGAACAATAAGAATTTCTGGTCGTGGGTGCTTGGTTGTCTCTAAAAATCATTCATTTGCAGCATTGCATTGCCTCACAGCGCTGTGGTGCGGGATTTGGGAGGGAAGAGCAGGAGCTGGAGCAGAAGGGCGGCTCGGAGCCCGTGCTGGAGCCTCACAGATGGACAAGCAGACGCTGCCAGGGGGAAGCCAAGGGCTGGCGGTGAGGGAAGAGGGGCCAGCAGGGCTGGGGGAGCACAGGAGCTGCAGCCAGGTGCAGGATTTCCCAGCCCCGAGGGCTGGACAGTGCCCGCAGGGATTTTGGCTCTTCCGTGCCAGCGCAAAACCAGGAGCAAGCTGGCTGGAGGAGCCTGGCCCTGGCTCATCCGAGGCACAGGGATGTCAACACACTGCTCTGTTTTGGGTCAATTCTGGAGGAGGTGCATGCATATTTTTGTAGATAATAATTTCAGTTAACAGAGAGAAAATCGGTTTTATTGGGGCTTTTAGGAGGATGTCTGCCAGCATGGATAAATGAGTGCTCTTGCCCAGCTCTGGGGACAGGCTGGGCATGGGGCTGAGGGCACAACCTCAGTGGGCTCAATGGACTATGTGCCCACCACCCTCTGCTCCGTGGGGACTCGAAGCCTGGCCATCACCAGAGCCACTGAGAAAAATGCCGGTTTTACCTTTTACAGATCATTTAACACTCTAATGAGATGCCTTAAAAATACAAACGAGCCACCTGATACGGCAGGATGCAAACCTGTCTCCATGGCAGTGATTTTCCTGAAGATGCTTTTCATCTCTGGCTGCTGGAAGCTTCGACGTAAAAATTTATCGTGCGCCCTCCTCTAATAAAATGTGATGGTTTTACTGTATTTTTTATATAAATGTACATTTACTTGTGAATTATACCAAGAGGCGGGCGCTGGCTTGTGGTCGAGCCTGCGACACTCGGCATTAATCACAGCTCCCTCTCAACTTCCCAGGACCGTGGACTTGTGCCTAAGGGTGTGGGTAACTTCTGTTGACTTCAGTGAAAGTTTCTGGTGTACTGCCGTGAGAGAATAGGCCCCCGGAGGCTCATTTGGTGTTGATTAAAAGCAGGAGACTGATAGCACCGGGCACACGGTGCAGCCAAGCACTGCCGCTTCCCCCGTGCCGCTGCCTCGCCTCAGAGCCCGGCCCTGCTGCTCCTGGGAGCCCCAGAGCTCTCTGAAATGCAGCTTGTTTCTGCCCCACAAAATGCTTGTTTCGGCTGTAACAGCCCCAAACACGCCCGCTGCCACCTCAGTGTCACCCCAGGTGCCCTGCGCTGGTGCCCGTGTGCCCACCACAGGCTGCCGGTTCTCGCTGCCTTCCCGGGAATATCCCACCCTCTGCCTGACTTCAGCAGCTCCCGGGGCTGCCTCAGCTCCGGAGAGAGGGGGCTCAGGGGGTCACAGCTCCCAGTGGCCACAGCAGCCCCGCCTGGCTGTTCGTTTCTTGGCCAGTGTGTCCTGGGGGAGGCAGGGGCTCAGCAGAGCCCCCAAACCCGTGGCTGGGGCATCAGGAGATGGAGCAGCTGCTTTTGATGTGATGGAGCTTAACGAGCAGCGCGGGAGCTCAGGAGCTGCACCATCAGCACGATCCGCCGAGCTCTCCGGGGAAAGGGCTGCGCCCGGGAGATGGGGAGATGACTGGTGATGGAGGAGTAGCAGATGGTGTCTCTCAAGGAGAACGCTGGGACAATAATTACAAGAGACAAGAGGAGAGCTGCTGGCTCACGCACAAGAATTTGTCCAAGCAATCATGGGAAGCACAAGTCTCTCCAGAGAGCGCCATGGGGGAGGAAGAGTTTTGCCAGCAGCTCCCAGTGCTGCTGCCAGGCCCTCTCCACCTCTCCAAGGGGCGCAGACGTGTCTATGACTCCCTATTCCCAGAACAGCCGTGGGTTTCTGGGCTTCAAACTCGCTTTTGCTTCCTCCCACTCTGCCTTGTCCACAGGGCATCCCAAACACCATCCTGCCTGTCCCAGCTTCCCAACAGGTTTGAGGCAAAGACATGCCTTTGGTTCTTGTGTGGGAGCTGTGCCAGGAGGGATGGGCTGGGAGCATCACTTCTCAGCCCTGCTCAGGGAAGGAAAAGCAGAGCAGAGCTCACAGCGTGCAAAAGCTTTCTCTCCTTTTACCCAGCTGTGATTTTACGCCCTATTGCCCCTCTACCCCATGCCCTCATTTTTTCTACTCTACCACGACTCCCGAGTCCCCTCGGAGAAGTTCCCTGCCAGCCAGAGCGGTTCGGGGGGGTTAATTAGCGCTGCAATCTCTTGCTGTCCCTCCCCGCGCCCGTCCGTGTCCCTGTCCCAGGAAGGAGAGGGTAAGGAAGGCTGTGCCAACCCGGGGTGCTGTCACCGGGAGGGATCCCCCGCCTTTACGTCCCCGTTGATGCTTTAGCTCTGCAATGCAGCCTGAGCAGGAGCTGGGACCTACAGGTGACAAGGAAATCGAGGCTAATTAGAGCTGCTAATTAGATCTCTGCTGAAACCCCGCCTTTGCCGTGTGCCCGTGGGCTGTGCTCCGGGATGGGTCCCTCCCGCTGCGGAGGGTTCCTCTGCCGGTGCCGCCCCATCGGCAGCGCGCACGCTGCACACGCAGGAGCCAATAATAATAATAATTTGTAAAAAAGGCACTTGGCAAGACTGAAGGGTTTCACGTCCTGCTGCCGCTGACTTGGGAGAGCTGCAGCCCCGGCACCGAGGGCACGCAGCCAGGAATATCCAAGGGAGATCTATTGCACCTCCCATTGATTCCGCTCAGGGACCAGCTCCCGGGCGTGGGGATGGATCCGGGCACGGTGGGGAGAGCCCAGCGATCCCCTTCTCCAGCACCTGCCAAAGTGGGATAGCAGTGGTCTGGAGGGAGCACCTGCCAGGGCACCCTCACCTTGGGGCTTTGCAGGGAGCAGAGGTGGGATTTCATTCCTGTGCGCTTTTCCAAAGGGCTTTGCCCAGCTCAGGCACCAAAACCTTCCCCATCTCCTCCGTGGCAGAGGAGCAGCAGGGCCCGTGTCTCCGGAACAGCTCCTGGCAGCCGGCAGTGCCAGCTCCAGCTTTGTGCTCAACTTCCCTGCCCTGTTCCCGCAGCAGCAAACCCTCAGATTATCCTCTGCTCTGGAAGGGCACTCAGCACCTGCATCCATCCCCTTCTGGCACTGAGGGACTGCCTCCCTCCCTCCCCTCACAGCGGGGTTTAAATGAAACCCCCCAGGACTCCAAAGCACAGCCCGGTGCCCAGCAGCGCTCTGGGGTGTGCCCGGTGTTGTGTGGACGGGGGGCTGTGCCACGGATCCGCTGAGGGCACGGGCAGAGCCACACACACATTTGATTTGTTGCTGTCCCCACCAGGGCTGGTCTCCGTGTCCAGAACAGACACTCCCCAGGACAATTTCTGTGGTGATGGGGAGCTGGGTGTGGAGTTGGAGCTGTCAGGTGCAGTTACAGGATGGAGAGAAGGATGCCAGAGGTGGGACCACACAAACTTCAAAGCAACAAAGCAAAGGGCAAGGTCCTACAGCTGAGTCTGAGAAATCCCAAACACATACAGGGAGCATCTCCTGTAACGCCGGGTGTCTGATCAGGTTTTCCCACTTGGCTCACTCCATGCATCACCATCTCCTTTGTTTTTCTGACTGAAGGTAAGCTGCATGTGAGACCCTACCTGCAGAGCTACCCCTACCCTAGCCCTTCCTGGGCCCAGCACAGGAAGGATCTGGACCTGCTGGAGCCAGGCCAGAGGAGACACCAGGATCAGGATGATCAAAGGATTAGAGCACCTCCCCTTCCAAAAACAGGATGAGAAAGCTGGGGCTGTTCAGTCTGGAGAAGAGAAGGTTGTGTGGAAACCTCACAGCATCTTCCAGAGTCTGAAGGGGCTGTAGGGAAGCCAGAGAGGGAATCCGCATCAGGAACTGGAGTGACAGAACAAGGGGGAATGGGTTAAAACTTAAGGGAAATTTAGATTAGATGATTGGAAGAAATTCCTCCTTGTGAGCTGTGGCTGCCCGTGGATCCCTGAAAGTGTCCAAGGCCAGGTTGGATAGGGCTTGGAGCAGCCTGGGACAGTGGAAGGTTTCCCTGCCCATGTCAGGGGGTGGAATGAGATTATCTTCAAGGTGCTTTTCAACGCAAACCATTCCATAATTCGAACATCTTTCACCATTTCCATCAGCACCCCCAACCAGCAGGACCAGGGCAGGCAGCACAGCCCTGATTTACTGCCACACTTAAACCTGTGCCTAACTTTAAGTGCACAAGTAGCTCCATTGACTCAGTGGTTTAAGGTTCGACATTTGTAAGTAAGTTGCAGAACAAGGACCTACATTATTCATCGGAAACCCCGGATAATGCATTCTTAGAAAATAACTACCAAACTCCACAAATCCCTGCTGAAAGGACATCCTAAAGCCCTGCCTGGATAGAGAGATTAGCTGGGATTGCTTTGTAAGCACCGCACATACATGCATACAGATATATGTATTTCTCTACCAGGCACTGCAATTCAGACTTGCCATGATCCCAGCTCTGCCAGTCTGGGAGGAGATGGGAGAGGGGCCACAGCAGCCAGCAGAGCAGCACAGCCCAGACCAGCTCTCCCCACAAGGCAGCCAGAGAGGGGACGATGCAATTAAGCAAACTAATTGAAGTGTAAACGTGGGTGCTTATAGCACAGACTGATAGGCAGCATCAGCTGTAACCGCAGCCGCAGCTCCACTCTCTCATTGCAATATCAAGATGATATAATGCCATGTCGACTTAAGACATGAGCATAAAGTGCTGCAAGCAGAGCATTTTATGTCCTTTATTGTGCTCCAGAGACCCCCCCCCAGGAGCAGCAGAGCCAGCCCTGGGGTGCAGAGCCAGGCACCTGGGCAGGCGAGCAGAGCCACCCCTGCTACAGCCCAGCAGAGTAAAGGCTGGCACCCTGGCCACAAAGCAGGGCTGGTGAGGCACAAAGCCAGAAGCCCAGCTTCAGTTCCTGAAATCCCTTATCCTCCCAGGATGATGGGGAGTTCCCCAATGAGGCTGCTCCCACCTCCCCTCCCTCAGCAGCGGCAGCCTTGGGCACGGCTGTGCCACCCTAGAGAATGCATTAAACCCCCCTCTTGCCACAGGATGGGGAATATATTCCCTCCAGGATGGATTTTGGGTGTCTGGGAGGGAAAGCAGCTATGCCATGGCAGGATGCACCCCATTTGTGAGGAACAGAGCAGGGCACCCATGTTTGCAAGGACAGGCAGGAAGCACCCAAAGTTCTCCAGGTTGGCAGGAGCCATCCAAGGTTTTCCAGCTGTGAGGAGCAGCCTGGCATGAGCAGGGCCAGCACTGTGCATGCCTCACTGCCGGTGGCCAGGAGCTGCCTGGGAAAATGAGCTGAAACAACACGGGTTTGAGCCATTTCATAAAATGTAATCAAGAACTATATCCCTGTTGTACAATTCCAGCTGATAGCTGGAAAAATAAAAACCCCAGAACTCTGTTGAAAGGATCTCATTCTGCATTCAGCCTGATGAGCAGCAGGAGAAATCCCTGCCATAGCCACACATGTTGCGTGCCTTCCCTTGGGATGTGCTGTGCACTGTGCACCTTTCCTGTGCACTGTGCCATGTTTTGTGCACGTGGGTGGCCCAGAGGTGCAGGGATGGGGTGTCTGTGCCTGTCCCTGTGCCTGTCCCTGCCAAAAAACTGGGAGCAGCCGGTGGAAGAGGGCCACAAGTGGGATGGATCCATCTTCCTCACCATGCTGCTGCTGGTGAGATTCCATCAGAGGGAAGCAGGGAAAGCCAAATGTTATGGATCCCTCAACCACCGTTATTTGTCCCCTTGTGCATCGCTGGTATT